TGAAAAATAAAGTAAAATGGAAAGGTTTTTAATAAAAAGAAAAAAAAAAAAGCGAAGAAAATCATAAAATATCAGAGCGAATAATTTTAAAGGGACAAAATTTAAAGAAAAAAAAAAAGTTAAAATGAAATTGCTATTACTTTAGTGGTGGAAAAAAAAAAAAGTATGTGAAATGCATGCAGAAAAGCATAAAATTATCACTACGATCCATGAAAAGTATGCATTAAAATTATTTTTTTGCAAAGGAAAGGAAAAAAAAAAAAGCCAAAAGTGAAAAAAGGAAAAAGAAAAGAAAAGCATTTAGTAAAATAAAAAAATAGAAAAATAAAATAAAAATAAATCAGAAAGAGGGAAATATACATACTGCTAAATGGAATAAATCAAAATTTTAAGAACAGAGTTGAAAAGAAGGCTTTAATAATTCTAACTAAAATAAAAATTTGCTTGAATAGTTCATTCTGTTTTTTCTTTCCTTTTTTTTTCTTGTTTTTTTTTTTTTTTTTTCTAGAACATTTTATAAATGATTGCAGAATGAAAGAATGTCAAAAAAAAAAGAAAATTTTTATTTATTTTTTTCTTTTTTGTACCATCAATAAGGAATGTGAAAAACTTTTGTCACATAAAATTATATATTTGGAAAAGTTAACAGAATTTAGTTAATTTTTGGCACATTAAAAACAGAAGAGAAATGTTTGTTGTATTTTTTTTACTTTACTTATCCTTTTAGAGGAAGTTTTTTTCAAACTAATTCGTGAAATATGTTATTGTTATTTTATGTTTTCTTCTCTTCTATTTCTACTTTTTTTTTTGTTTTGTTTTAATAGCAATATTTAACATTAAAATTTTGCTGTAACAAATGTGATCCACAAATTAATAAATAATCCTATAAGATTGTTGATTGAAAAAATAATACTTACTATTCATTCAATTCAATAAGTATAAAAATGACGGGAATAAAAGAAAACAAATCAAAGATAAAAATAAAAGTGGAAAATTTGAGAAGGTGTTTAACACCTCTCAATTATGCTTAAAATCTAGCCATTTCATCCCAGGGAAAAAAAGATGTCACTTAACTTGACAAGGAGACAAAAGACAAAGAAATAATTTGAAAAAAGAAAAAAAAAAAAACTTAACACCTGCTCTTATTTAAGTTAGATTTTATCTAAAATCATCTTCCCATGCTGTGATAGTTGAAATTTAAAAAGGAAATTAATGCGAATTGTGTGTGTAATGCACTAAGCAATTTACTTTCACCATTTTTCATAAGAATTTTAGGTATGGAATGAAAATCCTAAAACCGAAACGCAATTTTAGACTTTCCCTGATGATCAGACAAAGTTATTCAAAAAAAAGTTGGTTCAAGTTTATTTATTTATTTTTTGTTTTCGTTGCCTTACAAAGTTTATAAACCATTCCATTCTGTACAATTATATTGTCCTTTTTTTGTGCTTTTATACAATTCCTTAAACGGATGTGAAATATTTGTAAGAATAAAATAAAATGAAAAAAAAAAAAAAAAAACGAAATATCTTTTTCACAAACTTTTGTTTGTTTTTTGTTTTTTTTTTTTTAAAAAAAAGAAAGAAGAAAAAAAAAAAACGGAAAAAAATTGCAAAGATAGAACAATACCATTACAAAATGTAACGAAAAAGAAAATTTTAAAAAACTAAAATGGTGGAAAATGAAAAACGTTAACTTAACTTAACTTTGATAACAGAAAATTAGCATTTAATAGATTTAGCTTAATAACTAACACTTTCGTCAAGCGGAAAAAAAATGAAAAAGAAAAAAGGAAGGAAAAAGAAATTTGAAATGTTAAATGCTGTGAAGCAGGTGATTTGTGTGTGATGCATGGATGATTTAATTAAGTGTAAAATAGCATTTAAAGTTAGCACATTTTCATGTTTTTGTCATTTTTCAAACTAAAATATACAGGGTGAGAAAAGAAAATGAGAAAATAAATTAAATCATAAAATAGGAATTGAAAGAATTGCCATAAATTGCAAGTAAAACTCAAACATTGGTAAGGAAAAGAAACAAATGAAAAACTCCTTATAGAACTTTTTAAAATTTTTCATTTTTTCTTTCTCCTCTAAAATGAAATATCAAAAACTATGAATAGCAACTAGTGAGTGTATGGAATTAAAATGTTAGATAAATAATATCAATAATAGAGGATAAAGAAATTGAGATAAGCAAAACTACGAAATATGTTTTAAAAAGACCAGAATAAATTAAAAAAAAAAAAAAACTACTTTGAAATTTAAATTTTCAGAAAAAATTTTCATTATACATAAAAAATTTGCTTCTGATTTGTTTCATAACTTTATACTTATTTTCTCATAAATTAAAAAGAATTTTTAACTAGAAAATTCAACTATCAGATTCCAATTCACATCAAATACAAATAAACATGAACGGATTAATGACAAATTATAAATGACAAAGGATTAATGATAAATTATTTAAAAACGATTTAAGAAGTTTATGAAATAAAATAAATTTCATGAGAAAAAATCAACCGATTTATTGTGCAATAAGTAAAATTAATGTCTGATAAAAAGGAATGAAATTTATTCGAATGCTTTAACAGAATAAAAAGGTTAACTTAAAGAAAGAGAACTAAAATATGCATTTATTTACCACTAATAAAATTTCATTAGAAATCTGTTTTATTTCATTTAAAAGTAATTAAATCTATCCTTATTGAATTTACATTAATGTAAATATATCCGTTTCTGTATGCATTATAATATTTAATTATAATAATTTAAAAGAGAAATTTTAAATTGTAATTACTTTTACATCCAACTAATATGCATTCATGATGTATCTCTTCATTCATTAGCGAGAAAGCAAGTGGAGCACTTATGGGAATCAGTGATAATTAAATGTTTCATGAATGGGATTATTGATGATTTTCTTGCATGTCTGTCTTTTTTTAACAAATTAAATTCTAATTTTAAAAATAAATTTTAAACTAAGAATGTACAAAAGTTGCATAGCTTTCATAATCGTATATAAAACAAATTATTTTAAAAATTTCAATTTAATTATATAATTTCAATGTTCATAAAAGTAAAACGCAAGCTATATTACAACAGGTACAGGTGAAATAAATTACAGTACCTATTGAGACTGCACATTGCAGTGTACACCGGCATACTGTAATTTAAATACAGCAGAATACATTTTTATAATGCTAATTATAATATGATGACAATTATAAGTTTAAGCATGCTATAATGGACATTTTGTTGAATAAAATTTATTGTTTTTTCATGTGCACAAAATATGATTGTGCAAGAAAAACATTACGGTAGGCTAATATAGCTAAACCTCCATCCATTACGGTAGGATGACATGATTGTTTTCTTGTATCACGAGCAAAAAATTACGATATTATTTAACATTATAACGATAATTTTCTCATTTCATTAAAAAAATTTAATTACAGATACATTTTTACTTTCACATTATATTCCGCACTTAAAGTTGCCATTATTATGCGTCGTGAATTTGAAAAATTTATTCCAATTTGAAAATTTGAAGAATTTATGTGTTTCATATATGATATGATGATAAGTAAAATTAAACGTTTTCAATTTTATTATGTTAAATAAAACAGCAGAGTATCTTTAATAAAAATTATGCTTCAGAGAAAAACAAACAAATCTTTTCAACTATGAAAGATAAATTATATTAAAAATAAGGTGCTTATAATTTTTACAATAACCAATAGTCAATCTTTAAGGGTTGTAAAATTTATTAATAAATAGATTTTGTTTAAATTTCAGTCTTAAAGGAATACTTTGCTTTGATATATAAAATAAGCAAATTGATGAACTAATAAAAGTTATTCGAGTTACTTAAAAGATGCATGCTTTTGCTACCTTTGTTCTCGAAAATTTCAAATATGTCAAATAAGCGATCAGACAGTAATAAGGTTGAAGGCGAGAAATTGATCGTAATGAAAGCAAGAAATAATAAAAGATACAACTGATTTAGAGAAGCAGTATGATATTTAGAAAGTTATAGCAAAAAACCGAAGTTTAAAGTTGTATATATGGAAATTTCAGGAACTGATAGTGGTTCATGTGTAGAATTTTTTCCGCATATTACGACGGAAGGATGCATTCGATTTATTATTTATAATTTATTAGTTTTGATTTATTATATTAGTTCATTATATTATATTAGAACTAATATAATAAAGCAAAGTGTAAGCAGTGCATAAATAGTAAAACAGAGAAAGAACTTTTAGAAGAAGATTTGAATTCTTTTTTCATCGAAATTCAAAATCAATTTTTGCATGGATCAGCCATAAAAGTTTGGAAAATAAAGGACTGTGGAGAGAAAATAAAAAAACAAGTCAAAAAATCAGTTTGAAAATTAATTTGATAATTAAAATTTGACAATTAAATTTAAAAAATTCGACAACACTAAAATCCATTTCCATCGAATTATTTCTAGTAAATGCTATTTTGAAATAAGTGTACTGTATTAAAAGTTGGTATTAGAAATTTTATTTTGACGATTTTTTTTTTTTTTTTTTTTTGTGTGAAAATATCATATAAGCAAAACAAAAAGCAATGGAAGTAAGGTGGTAGTTGTAATGGAAATTTATCCATGAATTATAATGAAATAGTGCTTAAACAGGAAATGTAGAAATCCGGCTTTGTTAAGCATAAATCTTTCTGAAGAATAAAGGATAAATGTGCTATGATCAAAAAGAAGCAAGCTTGATTGCAAGCAGTCAAGCACTAATAAATGCTAATGAAAATCATTTCATTTCCTTTCCGGCTTTACTGATATGCTTCATTTCCCTCTAAGAATTGTGTAATGGAAACCATAAATATGAAAAACACAAGCATATACCGTCCAACAGCAAATATTTTACAGTAATCCAATTGTTACTATCACTGATACTCGATTAATGTACAGTAATCATATTAATAGCTTTTCCTGAAAGATAAAAGAATAAATTAGAAATTACTTACTTGCTGGATCAGAATCAATTGATAAAACCGGCGAATACGGACCAATACCTTTCATTGTTGCTGCCGCAACCTTAAAAGTATAAGTTTTTGGCATAGATGCATCATATGTTATCGAACGACCGTTGGTGACCTGAAATTAACAATAACAAGTCATAAAAATTACATTCAATGCATAAATAATTATATAAAGTATAAGTTTACAGAGATATTTTACACAAATTATTGGTAAGTAAAAAAAGAAGAAACATAAATTATTCAAAGTTTTCAGAAAATTATGTTATCGAGTAAAATTTTAAATAGAATTTTAATCAAAATTATGCGAAATATTTATTTCTCCTCGAGGTATTCTTCTTTTTTCAGTTAGCGAGGGCAAAAAAAAACATAATAAAAAATTGTACAAATATTATTTAACATAGTTCCATTTTCAGAAGATATTAAGAGGATCAAATTCAATGTAAAAAACTTAAAGAAGTATTTCAAAAAAAAAAAAAAAGAGGAAACATTTCGAGAGAAAAAAAAGTTATGAACTAACATTTCGAATAATTTTCTCTTCACCCGGTTGTAATGGAGTTAAAATAGCTTGGTAATATGTGATATTACCATTTCGTTGATCGATTACCGGTGGATCCCATGATATTGTCATCTAAACAAATAATTACTGAATTATTAAAAAAAAAGAAGAGGCAAATATTAAAATTAAAATTTCGACACTAAGCAAATGTGAAGAAGCCTTAAATTATTCACGAGGGAAAAAGTAAAGCAATTGCAAAAATAATCACATATTATTTTTACATTTGTATAATTTTAGTTTTAAAACTTCAATTTAATATGTTTTTAAATATATTTATGCTACTAGAAACTATTTTGAATGATGAAAATAAAGTTTATCAGTAAATCAAGTAGCTGATTATTCAAATCAACGCCAATAATCAATCAGAATAAATTAAACTTTAGTTAAATTAAAATAAAACAGTATTAGTGTAGTGCTTCTGCTACAACTATAATTCCACGAATTATTGGCTGAAAAATGATAACGCGCAACTAATAAAAATTGTTAAATAATTTTTTAATCCTAAATTGTTAGCAAAACACAACCTATGAAAATTAAAGTTTTTAAATTGACATATGCTAATTTAACCCGTGCAGTAAATATGCAAAAAAAAAAAGTTATTTATACTTAAATTTATAAATGATATTTTCCTGTTTTCATCTAAAAATTAATATAGAGAAATGAAAGACTAAATATTGATCTGTCTTGGAAAACAAAAAAGATCTAATCTAACTTTAATTAGTGAAGAAAAAAGAAGAAACTGATTTAACTAATCTAGAGTCTTGATTTCGGATAATGCTAACACTATTTATACAAATTATTTAATTTTATGAGAATAATGAAAATAAACTTTGCAGCAATGGTGATTTATTGATAAGATAAATCTATTTGATTATTTGATAAATGAGAGTCCATAAATAAACGAGAGGAAAGGATAGGAAGAGTGGATGAAGTGATAAGGATGATAAATGATAAGGAAATAATAATGAAAAGAAGATATAAAGCGAGGCTAAAACATTGATTACATTCATTGCTTAAAATGCATTACAGCAAATTTCAATCTCATCTATTCATTCTTAAATATTATACTTTACTAATGTAAAATAATTTTCACTATAAAAATGATAAATTTGGATTATAAATGTAACAAATAAAATTATAAAATACCAAAAAACATTATTTGCATCAAATATTTCCATATAAAATCATTGATATTAGATAGAATATAAAGTTGAAAATCTAACAAAGTAAAAACTTTTTTTTTAAAGAATTTTATAAAATTCAAAATTGGTCGAATAGTTATGTGAAAATAAATTTAGTGAAGTATTCAAAATGTTATTAAAAATTCACAAATAAACATAAAAGAAAATGCAAAGAAAGTGAGGAAAAAAAAGTATCATAAAGTTGAGAAAAAATATATGATCAAATCTATGATAGACATTAGACATCTATTCATTTCCGATTAAATATAATTCCTCGTAATTTAAGTACTACGATCAATTCAATTACTATCATCACATATTATCCATTTTAGATAAAAAAAAAAAAAAAAGAAAATATTGCATCATTTAATTGTATTATCATTGCTATCAGTACAGAATGATATGCTTTCTTCATCTTATCATTCTTGCATCAATTTCAAATAATTTGTTTATTTAACTTTTACAATGATTAAAATAGAATGATCAAATGGGAAATAATGTTTTAGTAATGAGAAAAATTAATCCTCTCATATTTAATTAAACAAAAAAAAAAGGAGAGAAAAGAGAAGAAAAGAAAAGAAATGGAAAGAAAGAAAGGAAGGAAATGCGTCGTATAAATAATAATTTTTGATGGGAAAAAAAGAGCGAAAGAGAAAGAAAAGGAAGAAATAAAAAATAAAATTAAAAGTTTTTGAATTTCCAAGTAAAATGATGACGTGTTTGGATAGCACTCACTTTTCTTTTTTTTCTTTTTTTTTAATTTTTTATTTTAAAATAAATATGGAAGTTTTAATGCAAGCTGAAATCAATAAGCAAAATGTTAGCTTTTTGAAAAAAATTATTAACTTTACAAATATTGGCAAATATTTGAAAATTTCAAATTGCCACTTGGAATAAACAATTTCAGATTTTGCTCCTTTATAGCAATTGAAACGACGAAATACTTAATTAATAATTTATATAAATTTTTTTTCATTCAAAGTCAGTTCATACACTGTATGAATTATCTTTGATTAAACAATCAAAATTTATTAATGAAAAATGAGAAATAGATATTACTTTGAAGCAATTAAGAGAGAGCAATAATAATGGATTTGAATTTTATGAAAAAAAAAAAGTTTAAAAATTCAAACAAATGATACGAAAAATTGACGAATTTTTGTCTAATATTTCATGAAAACATATAATGTATATGATAATGAAATATGTATTATTATTACAAATTTTTAATTACAGGAAAAGAAATTTGTTAAAATTAATTATCTTTTTAAATAATCTTTTATTGTCATACTATTTTATGATTTCTCCTAAAGAAGTAAAATTAACATACGATGCTTAAGTTTATTGAATATCATATAGTATGATAATAATATCAAAATAAAAAACATGAGAGGAAATTATAATAATGAAAATGAAAAAAAAAAAAGACTGCTCCCTTAATTTTTTAATTAAAAAAAGAATATTTGCTAGGATTTTTTTAAAAAATTTCTCTAAATGTTTACTTCAACATAAGTTATGGATAATATTTCAATTGTAAATAATCAAATCAATTCGACATAATTATATTTTTGATGATACATCTGATTAATTTGTCTAACAGTTTGATCCAAACGAATTATTACAATCATTAAAATCGTTCAAATTTTAATTTCGATGCTAATAATGATATTTCTGATTATAAGCATATATCAGACATACTTAGCAGCTATTTGGCTGAGATAATCCTTTCCGGATTATCTCCCACTTCCCATATTCGATTTAACCATGGAAATATATTACGGATGCAGTAGACTGATTATTCAATGAAAGAAATGATTACTATTTACTTGCAAATGAAATAAATGTAAATTCAAAAAGATGAATGAATGAATGATTTAATATCAAAATTTTTATCTTATAATTAAAAATTTAATATCAAAAATTTTAATTTAAAGATTTTACTTTACAATGAAAAATGGAAAATAAAGCAAAAATTTTAGCATTTTTTTGTAAATTATTGGAAAAAAAAAACGATACAAAAGAATGCAAAAAGCAAGTAATTATAATAATAAAATAATAGATAATAATTTGTAAATTAGGTAAATCTCCGGAAACTACAAAACTCCGTAACGGATATATTTTTCATGAAATATATATAATTTCCGTAAACAACACAACTTCTCCACGTAATAGCTTCCGGAACAATTATTTCCTTTTTTTTAAGGCAAAAAAAAAAAAAATCTTTCTTTCTTGGGTAATTATGTAAACTGTATCTTCCCGGGAATTTAGGAATTTACAACTAATGATAGCAATGACACCTTGCGGAGATTTTATTATTAGCAATGATATGATAACAATGATATGATAACGACTGCATCTTCGCGGAGATTGTCAATATATAAGCAAACATTTATCATTTATTGTAAAGTTATGGTTGGCATTTTCTTCTACATTAGTTAAACTTTTAAAATTTCTTTTTAAATATTTAAAGTAATCAAACTGAGAGAAAATAAAAAAGTGAAAAATTTTTTTGAATTTTTCTTATTTAATCCAAACATTCAGTTTATTATTTTTTTTCTTTGGTAAAAATTTTGATTTATTGACTTTTTCAAAAAGAAAAAAAATATTAATAAAAAATAAACTGAAAATTAAATAAACTAACAAAAATTTATCGATTTATTTTTCTTAGCAAAAAAAAGATAGAAATTTAGTAAAATAAATAATTTATGCAAAAGTATAAAAAACGTTTTTTTTTTTTTTTTTTTTTTTTTTAATGTGACAATTCACGAAATGGTACATAGAAAATTTTCTTAAAAATCATTAAAATGTTTTAAATGAAGATGAAATGATTAAATGGAACGGATGAGCTCAACAGGTGGCATTCATTAGAACAATTTCTTTCCGAAATATATAAAATGGTTAAATTGTGTTTAGTAAAACACCCAATAGTACTTCTTGAAAATGTTTTTGCTATTAAATTTTCAAATGTTTTAGTAAACTATGCTTATATATTTTGATATTCTTTGAAATATTTTATTAAATGATGCAAATTTTGAGCAAATTTTTACATCTTTCCGATTCAAATATTAATTAACAATGGAAAATTATTATAAAAATTGTTAGATTAAGCATGTAAATTAAGCATCTTTCTGCATTCTAATTTCAATTTTAGCTAAGAATTCAGATTTAATTAAAACAATAAAACATATTTGATTATTTAGTTATTCATTTCAAATAATTCATAATAACAAAAGAATAAAGGAACAATGTAAAAAAAAACTTAATTTGTAAGTATGAATGTTTCATTTTTCATTTCTCTGTTTATTTTTCTTGTATGCAATATATTGTAAGCTTCTTCTCTTATTTTATTTATTCATTTATTTATATTCCTTTCAAATCAAATGTTACTAATGAAAAAACGTAATTTATATTATTTTTAATCGTTCATTAATTATTGATAAATGATTTATCTTTTATACTAAGCTTAATTAATTAGCAAATGCTTAAAATAATGTTTTAATTGACGAATGAAATATTTTACTATCATTTTTCAACATTATACTATAATCTATCAGCATTTCATTTACATAAACTAAAATGGTAGCATTAGTAGTGATAGTACGATAATATAATAAAGTATGTCTAAATTAAAATTTTAAAATTATTCCCATGTGAGTTTGAATTCATTCCAAATCATATCATTTACAAATTTAATTGATTGACTATTGTAATAGAAAGAAGCATTAAAAGATGTAAAAAAAAAAAAAAAAAAATGGAAAAATTTTAATGAAAAAGTTGGATTCTAAAAAATGAAAGGAGGCGAAAAAAAAAGGGAAAAATTGATTAGAATTTTTACATATAATCTATTTTCTTAAATAAAATATAGCAATGAATGTTGTAATTAGCTTAAAATTTTCATCCAATTATAAACTTATTTCCGAATTATGCAAGCATTCTTAGTTTGAAATAATATTAAAAAAAAAAAAAAAATTTATTGATTATTTCGCTGGAAAATTGTTATGGAATAATTATTAAAAGTTGAAGTGAAGAAATTTCAAAATTTTGAAGCCAAAGTTTCAAAATTTTTTCTTATCGCATCAATTTATTCTTGAAAATGTTTAACTCATTTTATGAATTTCACGCATTAGTTAATATAATTCTCATAATTCTACCTGATTGGCGTTAATTTCGTAGCGTACGTTAAGTGGTTCCGCTTCAGGTATTCCAACCGGTGTTGTTAACCATTCCGTTGCGTTAACGCCCACACCGTCATCATTCTCCGCTGCTATATTAATTTCATACAAACGTCCCATAACTACAAATAATCTTTTAATTAATTTAAAAGAAAAATGAGTAAAAAATGAGAAAAAAAAAAACCAAAATGGTAAATGTAACAAGATAATCGGCAAAAATTTCATTTATTTTTCAAATAATTTATTACCTATCCTGATCCGGAATTATATTACCAATAATTAATTAATCGATTCACGATCAATCAATCAATAAAAAAGCGAAAGCATTTTTTTTTCTTGAAAAATTTTATGTCTAATTGCTTTCAACTAATTCATCTTTTTTTTATAATTTAATTTTATCTTTCAATTTTGTAATTTAATTTTATCTTTCATCAATTATTCTTATTTAATAATGAAATCAGAATCTCTATCATTATCAATAAATTTGAAAAATTCAATAATGAAAGCTCAAGTTATTAACAAATAAACTACAATTTAATTTATATAAATCGATAAATTGAAGATTAATTAATCGTTTAATTTCAATATAATTAATTCTTGATTTGAGATATATTTTTTCTTTGTCAACGAAACATTAAAAGAATGAATGGTAAATAATAGACTAAAAGAGTTAGTGGAAAATATTTGAGGAAATAAACAGTATTCATTAGAATTTAAAAACTTTTTTAAAATTAAGATTAATTTAAAATGTTTTAATAAGTACAAAGTAATAATGAAAAAACATTTACATAAGCCATCAAGGATAGCAAAATTTTGGGTTCCAGGTACTTCAAGTTTGCGTGCATCGATGTGTTCGAACGGTTTATACCAAATCAAATATTTATTGATTGGTAAATTATACGTGAACTGAAATTTATTAAAAATGCAAACGAATTAATTATGGTTTTAACCTTAACTTTACTTAAACAAAAAAAAAGAAAGAAATAAAATAATTTAAATATTTAATTTTTAGCAAGTTTTTCTTTCTTTTAATAACAAAATTTCGTCTAAAGAATATAAAAATTTTTTAATTCTTTTTTTATTATCTAATTTTTGGAGTATTACTTTTGGAATTTAATTCAAATTTTTTTAAATATAATTTTTTTTTACCATAAATTTTTCATAAAATTTCGATTTAAATCATTTCTATTCAAATAATTAAGCATATTAATTAGATCCATTTTTATCATCCAAACACTAATGTAAAATATCAATTCGCTAAATAATTCAAACTTTTGGTGGTTTCCAGTCAACACGCGCCCGTAATGGAGCTTCATCATTGAGCAAATTAACGGAATGTGTTTGTGGTTCTGATGGAGCTAAAAAAATAATCCGGAATCCGGAATGATGTATACAAATTGTTACATATTTATAAAGCAAAAAAGAAAAATTTCTTTCCAAAAATTTACAAATAAAATTTGGACCGAAAAAAAAAAAAAATTATCTACCATTAAAAGACAATGAAATATTTAAACAAAAAAAAGAAAAAAATTAAAAATAAATTTTAAAACAGAAAACTCACGCAATCCACCGGTAAGAATTTTTTTGCTTGCACTAAATTCACCATCACCATGTCTATTAAAAGCATTTACCCGGAATGAATATTCAGTATTCGGTTCAAGATCTGTGATTAATGTATGTGTTTTCTGGAAAACGGAAAGATTATCCGAAATAAATCGGTTTAAAAAAAAAAAAAAAATGCAAAAAAATGATAATATAGGAGAGAAAACTGACAAAGTGCACTAAATTATTAGTTAATTAGCATTCCTAAACAGCTATTATCTTTCCATTTTCAATGAAATATTTAAAATTTAGATAGAGTTAATTTTCAAATGAATTTATTCATTTTATATTAAAATATTCCAATATCTCATTCCATTTAGGAAAAAAGGAAATCAATCGTAATATATTTTAAATATCTAATAATAAATTTATTTTTTAAAAATATATTTTACATAAATTATATTTCAGTAACTGGTACATCATTTAACATTTAATCCTTAAACATACTATATCATAATTCCAATTTTATAAAAATTTTTTTTTAATATTTCTTGCAGCGTACTATAAAATTATGAGTTTTGTTATATTTTCTGTTAAATATTAAAAAACTTTTAATTTCTTTTTTTTTTTTTTTCATATTTTAAATACCACTCATTAAAATGAATGTCTCACAATGATATTTATTATTTTAAAGTAAAAATTCATTTAAAAAAAAAAGAAAAAGTATAATTGAACAAGTAAAATATTATTCACAATGTATACACAAATAAAAATTAAATTATAATAAAACAAGGAATTTTTATTATTTATAATAAAAATTCCATTTAAATTTTATCATTTTTTTTTCCTTCTTCCTTTGTAAACAAAAATTTTTAAATTTGATAAAATATCAAACTGACGTGTTGATCATAGATGATAGCACGTTGTAATTTATCATTGATTGGTTCACCGTTCAATAATCGATCCTTATAAACATAATATCCGATGATATCACCGTTTGCGTATAATGGCTTTTCCCAGCTTACTTTTACCGCTGAGGCATTAACCAATGCGACGTCAATATCACGTGGAGCTGACGGTACTTAAAGGAAAAAAAAGATATAAACGTCAAATGTTAATTTAAAAAATTAAATAATCAGCTGAAACAGAACTGAATGATTTAATATTTTATTTACGAACTTTTTTTTCTCTTTTGCAAATTATGAAAAAAGTAATTTATTGGAAGTTTTCAAAAATATAAATTAATTAAGTTTTATTTTATTATTATTATAATTAATAACAAAAAAAAAAAAAAAAGAAAGTGCTCTCTTATTTTTTTGACAAAATTTACTTTTTTTTCATTTTTTATTTTCAAAATAAAAAATGTCATACATTAATATACCATACTCTGGAAGAAGTAACTAATGAATTTCATAAACATTTTTTTTCTACATTATTTTATTAAAATTTAAATTATTTTACTTTCACTGTTTCTGTAAACTTTAAAATAATATATAAAATGATAATATTATGCAAAGACAAAACATTAAGGATTAAGCAAGGATTTAAAATAAGGAATTTTAAAACATAAATTGAATTGAAATATAAAAGTGAAAGTATCGATCGAATATTTTTGCCATTCTTATTTTCTGACCAAAATATCTGTACGATATTAAAAAAACAATATCATAATAAATTTAAGGTAGCAAAAAGAATCTGAAATTCATAATCGAAATGATAATAATCTTATTAGTAATATTAATTTTCAGTTGACTTTAAAAAAAAAATTTAAATAGAAATGCTAAGAATTCCAATTCACAATTTTTAAAATTATTTAATTATAATTTGAAAAAGTTTCATTTTATTTCTTATTCATATACATATTCATAAAAATAGGCTTCATTTAATGCTTATCCAATCACTGATAAGCTGATTAACATTCATTATCATTCTTAAAGCACTACTGTTTAGTTTAGTTTTGATGTTAAGCTTAAACGATGGATGAATTAAACAAACATAGCAACGACAATCAGTAATTAGTTTTGAATATAAATTAAAATAAATTAAATATAACATCAAAAATTAATAATTAGCACTTGTAATATTAGAAAGATAAAAACAAACATGAATAAATAATAATTAAATTTCCATTTTGTGATGCTTATAAAATCAAAAAAAAAAAGTTGAAGCAAAAAAAAAAAAACTTAAAATTATTATACTATATATAATTAATTATATATTTGCAATATGTACTAAAAAAAAAAAAATAAATAAATAAAATGAATAAACGAAATGATAAGCTAAATTTAAATAATTAATTTATTAAAATTAAAAAAAAAAATTTCAAATATTTCTTTTTATGTTTTTTTTTTCTTTACCTTTTTGAATTCGTTGTTTTGGACTTCCAGCATCGATTAATTGTGCAAATACAATAACAGTTAAAATGAAACAATAATGAATGATAGTATAAGCAGTTGGAATTGTTATTGTTGTTGTTGTTATTGTTGTTGCTGTTATTGTTACCATATGATATGATGCATGTAAGAATCGTAACAGATTTATACAAAATAACTTATCCAATGCATTCCTTTGTTTTACTTTTTCTTTTTTTTTGTTTCTTTTTTTTTTTTAAAAAATTTTTGATTCTTCCCTTTTTTTTGCTTAGCTTTTCTAATTTTTCCAATTCCGGAATTTCCGTTTTCACATTTATTAATATCGTTACCGTTGCATTGCTTTTCCTTTTTTTTTTTGCCTTTTTTTATTCCTAAATTAATTCATTCATTATGAAAAACGGAAAATTACATTCAATTCATTACGCGGTAATATATTCAGTAAAATGTGTAAGCAAAATGAAAAAAGTTGTAAAATTTACAGATTAAAATATCAAAATTATTAAATAAATTTAATATTTAATTAAAATTAATAAATAGAAAAAAAATATAGAATTTATACAATTATTAAAATATATGCGCTAATTCAACAATTACTACGAAATTATATTTATGATTATGAATTTTTTTAAAAATTAAATGAAATATAATTTCAAATTACTGAAAAAAAATTTCCTTAAAAGCAATTTTTAAAGAATGAAAATTTAGAACAGCTGAAGTAAGTAAGATTAGCTATAACAGATGTCCGATTGCTAATAATCTTAAATAGTATATTATGTGTTATTACGATTTAATTAACTAATAGTCATAAATAAATTCATCGTTTACTTACTCTATGCTAACTAACAATTATTCATATTTCTATTTCAATTATCAATATTATAGCAAATAATTTGATTCGAAATACGAAATTATTATTAATTTATTCATTCACCAATTATAATTTATTTGTGGTAGCTAATTACTGAGCAAATAAAATTAACAAATGCTTTTTTTAAATTTCATTTAATTACATATTTTAATACTTTTAAATTTCAAAAAATAAAAAATGAAAATAAAAAAAATTTCAGCACATCGTATGGAAAATGCGCTGTTATTGAAAAATTTTTGCTAAGTTAAAATTTAAATTATATCTCTGGAATGAAGCATAAATTTGATGACTGATTAAGCTTGATTTCAAATTTTTTATCCTAATTTTTCTTTCATACTATTACAACATTTTGCTTCATCCCAGATGAACTAAGTAATCCTAAATTTAGCCAAAAAAAAAAAAAATATTAAAGCAACCAAACAAATATCTTAAATAAACATCAAAATGAAAATAAATATATTACAAAAAAAAAAAAAAAAAAAAAAAAGAGCTGATTTATACCAAATAATTTTCAAATTCTGAGGTAATTTAAGAATTATTTTTATAAATTTGACTCCTCTCAGATTATCAAAAATTTTTAACCCTTTATTTTATCTAAGTTCCATCAGATTGGAATTTTGTTTTCTGTTTTTTTTTTTTTTTTTTTTTTTGCTTTTTCAAAATGATTGCGTTTGATTTTTTATTAACTTAATTTGAAACATAGTTAAAATTAGGCTAATAAATAAACAAACCTTCGGAATTTTAGAAAAGTCTTTTTCCATACTTACTAAATACTAAGTAGAAAAAAAAGGTAATATTAGAAAAAAGATTTCATTGGTAAATTAAAGCTGAATTAAAATAAATTAAATGAATATTTCGATGAATTAACCTTACATTTAAATGAAATTCAAAGTCTTTGAATTTTTAATTTAAAGCAAATAATAATGTCCATTTTTGAACTATTTTATACAACTAAAATGAAATCAGCCAAATCAATCTAAATTTTATTTTATTTTTTATTTCACCAAAGAATATCCCCAAATATATTTTTTCATTGCTAAAGATATCATCAAGCAGCAATTTTTGGTTATTGTTGCAAAAAATAAGAAAAAAAAAGAAAAAAAAAAACAGAACAAATCATGGTCAAAATTCTGGAGGGAAAAAAAAAACCTGATCAGGAATTATTCCAGAAAATTTCAGCTAATTATTTCAAATTATCCAATGGTTTAAAATTAACTGGATAAAAAAGAGAACAATTTCCTATAAGAATTTAAGAAATTTTGATGAAATTTTCATTTCAACTTTATATGAAATTTCATTTGGTGTAAAAATAATTTGCATACGATAAAAAAAAAAGAAATTATAATATTAGCATTAATGGATTATTATAAAGTTTAATAGAAAAATTCACTGTTTACAAATAAAACGCAAATTCATTAGTTGTAATTTAGGAAAATTAATTAACCTATAATCTCACAAAGTTTGAAAAAATGGCACATAAAAAACAAAAAAAAAAAAAAAAAAAAAAAAAACAAAAGAAAAAAGTTCCATCATTTAAATCATTTCGTTCAATTCACATTCATTCATTTTGAAAAGTGAAAGAATAAATAATAAATAAATATTCCTCTCATTCAAATAATAAAGTACTTGAAAACTAAATTTATTAACTAACTATTCTAAAAAGTAGCATATTCACAAACATTTCTATTTTATTTCATTCATTCATTTTTACTTCCTTCAAATTCTCGCCTAAATAGACTTAAATCGATTCATTTTTAATTTATACTCAATCCTATCAATCATTTCAATTCACACTTTCCTCAATTCCGTTGTTCTTTTCATCTTTGACCATTCCGCCTCCCTCCCTCCCTCTCTCCCTCTCTCTCTCTCTCTCATTCAATTGGTCTAAATCGTACGTATCGGATCGTTCCGATTCATTCCGATCTTCCATCACTTTCAACAACAAACCACTTTTCGAGGTCATCAAATGAAGAGACATCAATGTTACTACTACTACTACTACTACTACCAGTAAACTACTTTCATCTCATTTATCACAAAAATATGAATACATTATCAAATAATTAATTGCCATCTTAAAGAAATATTTTCTTTCTTTCCAACTTTTATGTTTCATTACTATAAATAATCAATATCACTCAATATATATCAGTGCTAATATATTTAAATGATTAAATTCAATGTTAACAGAACTATAAATAAATTTTAATACATTCATAATTAAAATTATTCCTCTTATATTATGGATAATGAATAAAAAATGGACATTAATTTATGTGAATGATAATAAAAATTTACATCGAAGGTAAGAAAAAACAAATTTTTAAATTAAATATAAAAAATATATATTTTTAAATAAAAATAAACATTAAATAAGATAGCAAAAAAAAAAAAAAAAAGAATAAATTTGAAATATATTTACTGGAAAAGAAAAACGAAAAGAATGGAAATAATTCATTCTATAGTAAAGCTATCATTGATAATTACAAATTATTTAAAAAAACTGAGCAATTTATTTTGCTAAATTAAAAAAAAAAAACTAATTTTTTTTTTTTTTTGCTTCATTCTATTTCTCCAATTCTTCAAATATATATTTCACTAATAAAATCCTTTAATTAAAAAAAAAAGAAAAAGTGCAACAAAATGTATATTATTAAAACTAACTGAATAAAGCTGAAAAAAGAGAACTGTTAAAAAAAAAAAAAACGAATTCCAATTTGTTAATTTATAAATAATGCCATGAAAATTTTAATAAAATAAAAATTTAGATGAAATATTCAATACAAAGAAGGTATGCAAAAATTTAATGACATTTATTGATTCGTTTACTTTTTCATCATTGATTTAAAAATTTTCAAAACACTAAAAAAAAAAAGGAAAAAAAAAGGAAAGAGCACTCATTTGAAGTGTATAAAGAAAGCTAAATTAGTTGTAAATAATTTTTAATTTAAAAAAAAAAAATTTTAATTCGCAATTATTTTCATCTATACTTTCCTCCTTTTTTTTCCTCTTTCATTATATTTCCAATGTAAAAAGAAATTAATGAATTGTTCAATTAATCCATTCCAATTGATTTTAACTATTTCTAAAACTAAAATTTCATTATGGTTTAATGTGACAGCTAAAGAAAGAAAGAAAAAAAGAATAAAAGAAATGAAACAAAGAAATGTCTAATTGAAATTTATATTTCCTTTCAATGAAAGAAAGAAAAAAAAAGAGAGAATACCCTCCAAAAAAAAAAAAAATTTTAACCTTAAATGAACTATTTAATTTTTTTTTAATTTATCATTTCCACTTTCCTTCCTTCACATCCATCTCCACTCGTAATAATTTATATCAACGCTTTATTCTTAAATCATACGATTTGATTTTATCAATTCGATCGTAATTTTTAATTGCCTGCCTATTGATAAATTATTTTCGTTATCATATCATCATATCATATCATATCAATCGTTTGCATCCTAATTTTACTCATTTTATCTTTACTATCTTATAATTATCCAAAGAGATAAAAAAACACAACAAATGCTAAGCTATTAAGGAGGAATTATATTAGATACTACAAAATTTCGCTTCCCTTCTTCTGAATTTAGGAAATAAAAGTATTTTAACCTTTATTTCCTAATTTCACTAATTTTATAATATAAATTTTAATTATTGCTAAAATTTACTGAATTTAAATTATTGTTTTAAAAAAAATTTAAACGTTAAATTTTAAATAAATCAGATCACAAAACAATGATCGTTATATGCTCACATCTTTGCCGACAAAAAAGAAAAAGGTTATAAACAAATGTACAGATGTTTCAACTAAGTTCATATCATCACTGAAAAATTAAATGAAGCGGAAAGATGAAAGAGAGAAGTTTGTAAATTATTTGTGAACTTTGATGAAATCAATATTACATCACATACTGAAAAATTTGAAAGTGATTACAAAATTTGGAATATAATTTTTTAAAGTTAAAATATGAAAGAGAATTTAAGAATTAAGAATGAAAGTAATAATGATCACAATAATAATAATAATAGTAACTTAATCGTCAACGGCGATAATAATATTCCGAGATGATATTAACGAACGATATCAGTAATTAATAATAATTGCATGATAATAAAAGCCTTATACAAGTTATTTGTCGATGAATTTCACTAATATTTGATACGTAAATACAAATTTTTGAATTTACTGATAAGAATGAAAATTTTCGATAATTTATTGTTTCTACGTAAATAACAAATCACAACTAACCTAAAACTGC